TGGAGATGCTGAGGGGAGTCACTTTGCTGCGCTGCTTGATTTCCCGTTCACTCCGACAATCTGCTCCTTCTGGGTGAGGCCTAGGCTAGGCTGAGGGTAAAGATAGTGTCTCTACTGGGCCAAAGGGCAGGACTGGGGTTGGGGAGAGGAGCATTTCTACCCTGTCTTGAGAGTGCCCCTGAAATTTCCGTACAGGTGGGTGAGTGGAAAGTGCAGAATACTCTCTGCAATGGAGCGAATGGTGGGATTGCAGGCATTGTAGGACAGGCAGGTGGAAGAGGACATTCTGGTACAGAATGCTCCTGACAAGTCAGTCATACCCCTCCAAAGAGTTGGCTCACCTCCAGGAAGCTCCTGTCCTGCTGTCTGGTCATCTCACACAGCTACTGTGGTGGGGAAAAGGCTCAGGGAGGTAGGACTGGGAAATAGGCTGGGAACCATTAGGAAAGAGAGTTAGGAGATCCCTACTTCCTTTGTGAAGTGACATTTATATACATGTAGTACATGCAGGTAGTGTATGTAGGAGTAAAAGTATGAGTAGGTATGTGACTTAACTGTGTGTGTGTGTGTGTGTGTACCTATTTGTTTGAACTTGATGTGTGGGTGAATTCAAAAGGTTTCTAGCTGTGTCTCACATGCCTGTGTAGGGTGTGTGAAGATGTGTGTGCATGCACAAATCCTGAGTCATTCCAACCACCCTGGGCCCTGGGATGCAAGCGCTGTCCCGGAGACACTCTGGGGGCAGGAAACTCTGCTTTTCCCATCTTAGAACACTAAGCCCCATCCGCCCATTGGCCACTGGGGGTGGGGGGGTGGGGCGAGGAGGAGAGATGTAGCTAGGCCACCCAGAAGGAGCACCCTAAGAGAGGCAGCCTTGGGATGTAATTTGCCCTCGGCACAAAAGCAGGGTGAGACAGGAAATTGTTTGGAGACTTTTTTGGGGCTTCTTGGGCGAGGTGGAGCTTAAGGCTCAAAATAGAATTGAGGAACAAGGTCCTAGGTGGCCTATGATTGGGAGATGGTGTGGAGGTCCCCCAAGAGCCAAGTTTCAGGTCCAGATTGAGGTGCTGGGATGGAGGCCAGGGGAAGCTCCCCTGTAGACCTCAGGAGCCAAGGATCCACAACTCAACTCCAAGGCCAGGTTGCTCCTACAAAGCTGCCTCCCACCCCCATTCCATGCAATGACTCCATCCTACAGGTCTCCAAGCCTGCTCTGACCACTCCCCCACCCCACTCACCTGACTGTGGAGTGGGCCCCTTGAGAGCAAACCCATGTCAGGACTCAACTGAGCGCGGACGATTGCCCCTTTTCTCTCCCTGCTCTCCCAGGCCTACTCTGCATCCTTTTTTGGTTTCCTACCTGTCTCTTCACTCATGCTGTCCCTGCATCTTCCAGTCCCTTGCAGCTGTTGGTGGTTACGTGCCATCGAGTAGGTTCTGACTCATAGTGACCTTGTATAGTGTTTCCAGGATCGGACATTGTTTCGTTCTGCTGTGCATGGGTCGCTATGAGTCGGTTCCAACTTGATGGCACCTGACAACAACAACATAGGGTTTCCAAGGCTGTAGATCTTCAGTTAGCATACCCCACTATGCTACCAGGGCTCCTGGGACCCTTACTGGTGACCTCTATTTTCTGGATGTCTCTCTGGATGCACCTTTGTACTTCCAGCACCCATTCTCACTCCATGTACTTTGTCTTCCTTAATGAACTAAGCACATCAAAGGCCAAGCTGCTACCTTTTCTTCTTTGTATTCCCAGAGCCTAAATAACACAGGCCTGCAACTCAGACCTTGTTCATTCATGGAAAGAGTGAATGAACAGTAGCATTCAGTATACACATCTCTTCCAGCCCTTATCTCGTGCTGCATAGATTGCTTCCCTCGCTAGGAATAAGACTGAACCCCTTTCCTTCTGTAACCAAGTGTTGAGGAGCTGAGCCTGGTGAGGTGGGGGTGGGGGGGTAAGGGGGGGGAAAGGTTTGTAAAGGAGGAGTCATTCTTCCTCTCTGCTGCCCCCTGTTGACAAAAATGGGGAAATGGAATACAATCTAGAAGCTTCTCAGATTTGGGGATGGGAGGAGACGTTTCCAGCACACAGGGAAAGATGATTCATTCATGCTTTATGCTGAATGTGCTGAACCTTCATTCTAACATTGAGGTCATCAGGGCCTGCAGCCAGAGGGCATAGTTAGTGTCTACCCCCACTGACCTCCCTCCCCTTTCCATGGAAGGCTGCACCCCACTGCTTCCCAGTCTCCAGCTCAGGTTGGGCTGGGAGCCTCTAGTTCTTGGCTGGCAAATCCTCCTTCACAAACCAGTTCCAAAGTTGTTTTCCTGTCATGGTTCACTCCACAGGGCTGGCCATGCCCCTCCTGTGCTCAGGCTCTGCAGACTGCCTGTCACCACCTCACCTGTGTCAGGCTGGGTGGGTTGTGTCTGTGTCTGATCAATCTTTGAACTCCTTGTTAGGTGCTGTTGAATTGGTTCCAACTTGCAGTGACCCTTATACCCAATAGGCGGAAACACTTATACCCAATAGGCGGAAACACTGTCCGGTCCTGGGCCACCCACACAATCGTTACACTTGAGCCCATTGCTGCTGCCACTGTGCCAACTCATTCGCTGCCCTTCCATGTTACCAAGCATGATGTCCTTCTCCAGGGGCTGGTCACTCCTGATAACATGTTCAAAGTATAAGAGATGAAATCTCCCCATCCTGGCTTCTAAGGTGCATTCTCGCTGTACTTATTCCAACACAGATTTGTTGTTCTTCTAGCAGCCCGTAACACTTTCAATATTCTCCTCCAACACCCAAACTCAAGAGCATCAATTCTTCTATGGTCTTCTTTAGTCACTGTCCAGCTTTCGCATGAACGAGGACTCATGGCTTGGGTCAGGCGCACCTTAGTCCTCAAATTGACATGTTTTCTCTTGAACACTTTAAAGAGGTTTTGTGCAGCAGATTTGCTTAATGTAGTACACCATTTCATTTCTTGACTGCTGCTTCCATTAAGGTTGATTGTGGATCCGAGCAAAATGAAATATTTTATAACTTCAATCTTTTCTCCAGTTATCTATGTCATTTATTGGTCCAGTGGTTAGGATTTTGTTCTCTTTACATTGAGTTGCAACCCATACGAAGGAAGTATTTTAAGTGCTCTTCACATGCAGCAAGCAAGGTTTTATCATCTACATATGGCAGGTTGTTAATGAGTCTTCCTCCAATCCTGAGGCCATGTTCTTCATATAATCCAGCTTCTTGGATTATTTACTCAGTGTAGAGATTGAGTAAGTATGGAGAAAGACTACAACCTTGGCCACAAGGTTATCTCCCAGTGGGCCACCCAGTTCCTGGAGCACTGAAGGTCATGGATTACATAAAGGAGAACAGCTGACAAACTAGAAGGTGCTCTTCACCATGAGGCCTCTGGAAGGAGCCCTGGCCAATGAGTGCTCAGGGACAAATTCCCTACAAGGACTGCTAGAACACACTGTCACAGCATTTGTCCTGCTCTGTACTCCAGATGCGCTAGCCCTTGCAAACAACTCCACGGTTCATTGACCATCCAGCCCCTGGTTAGATGGGGCCGGTGGGAGACATGATGGTAGACTGCAGATTTGCCTGGATTCTTGTACCCTCCCTCCGGCTCTAGACCACGTCTTCCCTGCCAGTGCCGGTGTCCTATCCTAGGTGGCTTCTCTGGTGTCAGAGCTCCCCGTGGGTCAATCTCTGTTGCCTCGCCTTCCTGTGTGCCCTCAGAGCGCTACCAGTTGCTGTCACCCACCCTCTTTCTGAGCCCCATGAGTAACTGAGGCAGTTGAGGTTTGGTGTCAGCTTGGCTGGGCCAGGGCTGTGGTTTAGCAGGAAGGTGTAGTTTGTCACTTCCATGAGAGTTAACACATTACAATCACCCCCGTGAGGTGAGGTGAACTGACGTGCTCAGCCCTGACCCCCGGTGAAAGCCTGTGTTGTAAGTCGTCACTTCTGTGCCTCTATAGGACTAGGCTGTATCTTGAATCAATCTCTTTTGAGACAGAAAAGGAGAGAGAAGTGAACTCAGAGGGTCCTACTACTACCAAGATAGCAGAGGCGGGAGTGGAGTGCATCCCTTGGACCCAGGGTCCCCACACTGTGAAACGCCTCGGTCCGGAGGAGACTGATGCCAAAACACACAGAAATCTCCGAGGGATGTTGGGCCTATAGATGCTGAAGCTGAAAGGAGACACGCACCTTTCCCCAGAGCTGACGAGGGAAGGCCTTCCTGAAGAGCCGGCACTCTGAGTTTGGATTTCCATTAGCCTCCTAAACCGTGCCAGAATATACTTCCAGTTGTTAGGGCCATCTGTGGTATCTCTGGTACAGAAGCAGTTGAGGACTAAGACAGGCATCCACTGGGTGTGGGTGGTGTTCTTGGCGGGGCCCTGGCTGACATACCTCTCCTCGTCCCTATCACCCCAGGCTTCTGCCCAAATCCCGGTGCTCTTTATATTCCCTGGCTGCCCAGAAACAGACCAAACACGGCAAGTAGCTAGGAGGCAGTTTCTTTATCAAAAGTCACTGGCTCTCACCCAGGCCTGTCTCACTGCTTCTGGAACAGGAGATAGCAGGGGAGAATCAGGACCACACACTACACAAGCTGACACAGACACAAAGACACTATGTAACCAGGCACTGTTTACAATGACAGGAAGGAAAGGAAAACTGGAAAACAGCCAACAGGAGTCACTGACGCCCCTTGACCCAGAGCCCAGAAACCCGTCCTGCGCTATCAGACGATGTGATGCGTCTCACGTTCTTCAACTGTCAGCTGAGGATGATAGACTATGCATCACCAAGTTGTCACAGGGTAAATGAGACTACAACAGGGTGACATTTACCAGTGGGCTCAGCACAGAGTTTGACACACAGAGGTGCTCAATAAATAAGGTCTGCTTCTGTTCCTCTTTAAATCAGAAAAATCTTAGCTCAGAGAAAATCGGACTCTGGAAATTCTCCATCAAGGAATCGGGACCCTTGAACACTCCTTGTTGCTGGCGGAGTCTGGAGTGCTCAGGGACCCAGAATACACTGTGCCAGGGCAGCTGTGGGGGGTGGGGGGCTGGACCCCCAGAGAGGCACCCGCTGAAGCCGGGTAGACACCAGAGGAGTTAGGGGTCGGGCCAAAATGGTTTTGTACATAACACAAGCCAGAGGCAGGCTGGTATGGAGGCAGGCTGGGCATGTGGTCAGGGGTACAGGTTGGCCAGGGGGAGAGTTTCTGACCATTGGCATGCTGCATCTGGGTGACAGGGTGACCTGGGGACAGGTGAGGATGGCAGTTCTGCGTCGGGTAAGAGCCGGGCACAGGATTCAGCCTGGAATAGAGCAAAAGAAAGAGTTGAGCTGGTTCATACCCAGGCTCCTCCACCTGACTTGCCACACAAGAAAATCAGGGTTTGCTCTTCTGCTTTGTATTAACAGTGAGATTTTGCTATTTTCTTTCTGTGACTAGTTTGAAGTACTAAGTGGGGAGAAAGGCTCATCTTAACCTAACACAGAACAGGCGCCCGAGAGAGAAATGCCCGCTGTTGGCTATTCAGCAAGCCAGCAGTAGGATGGAGAACTGCACGGTGTACTTGAGATGTAACTTCCCAGCAAGCAGCTGCAAACCGGATGGAGCCAGGTGCCAAGTCCCTGCAATCCTCCTCTGTGGAGTGAAGGTGCTCACGGAACAACACACTGCTTGCTCCCAGGCCTTGCTGACAGTCTCTCAGCAAGACACACCATATTCTCGTTCGGGGGGCCTTCAAAACAGGGTTTCTGAGGGGATCTGCTGGGCCATTCAACTCAAGGAATTCTGCTCAGAAGGGTATGGAAACCGTCTGGGGGATTTCAAAGGTGTAATCTTGGTAGATATTTAAGGAAACAGGATGATCACGGGGGCTTATTTATTGCTTAGAAGTTTCAAGACAATTGAAAACTACATAGGTGAGAAAAAGGCCAAGGAAATTGCACCAAAGACTTTTTCCCCATCACAACCATGCGTCTGCTCATTCTTCCAGGGTAGCATGGGCTGTCCTGCAAGTTTCATTGGGAAACTTTATTCCATGCACCCTATAGCCGTGATTTTATCCCTTCAGACTGCTGTTTGTTTCCAAATTTCAAAGGACATTTCAAAGGAACATGATTTGAGTCCCTTGAGGACGCCAAAGCTGCCATTTTGACGTGGTGTGAATGAAAGAACACAGAACTCCAGGGGAGGGTCAGAGAGGTGGAAACACCGCCTTCACACATATACAGTCCTATTGTTGTTGGTAGGTGTCATCAAGCCAGTTCCAACTCTTACCGACCCTATGAGCAACAGAATGAAACACTGCCTTCACCGTCCGGCACCATCTTCACAATCGTTGCCATGCTTGAGCCCACTACTGCTGCTATTTTGCCAATATATCTCGTTGAGGGGGTCTTTCCCTTTTTCACAGACCCTCCACTTTAACAAGCATGACATCTTTCTCCAGGGAGTAGTCCCTCTTGATAACATGTCTGAAGTCTGAGAGATGAAGTCTGGCCATCCTGGCTTCTTAGAAGCATTCTGGCTGTACTTCTTCCAACATAGATGTGTGGTTCTTCTAGCAGCCCATGGTACTTTTAATATTCTCTTCCAACATTGTAACTCAAAAGCATCAATTCTTCTACGGTCTTCCTTATTCACTGTGCAACTGTCACATGCAGATGAGGCTACTGAAAACACCATGATTTGAGTCAGGCACACCTTAGTCCACAGACAGACATCTTTGCTCTTGAACACATTAAAGAGGACTTGTGCAACAGATTTGCCTAATGCAATTTGTCATTTGATTTCTTGACTGCTGCTTCCATGAGTGTTAATAGTGGATCCAAACAAAATTATGTCTTTGACAACTTCAATCTCTTCTCCATTTATCATGATGCTACTTATTGGTTCAGTGGGAGGATTTCTGTTTCCTTTACATTGAGGTACAACCCAAATGGAAGGCTGTGGTCTATAATCTTCATCAGTAAGTATTTTAAGTTCTCTTCGCTTTCATCAAACAAGGTTGTATCATATCTGCATATCGCAGATTGTAAATGAGTCATCTTCCAATCTTGACACCACGTTCTTCTTCATATAATCTACCTTCTCTGATTACTTGCTCAGCATACAGATAGAATAAGTGTGACGAGAGGATACAACTCTGGCCCACACCTTTCCTGATCTTAAACCACTGAGTGTCTGCTTGTTCTGTTTGAATGACTGCCTCGTGGGCGTGGTCTATGTACAGGTTCCCCATGAGCACAATGAAGTGTTCCGGAATACTCATTCTCTGCAATGTTGTCCATAGCTTGTCAGGACCGACACAGTCAAAAACCTTTGCGTAGTCAATAAAGCACAGGTAAACACCTTGCCAAGATCCATCTGACATTAGCAACGACACTCCCTCATTACAAGTTCTTGTGTGAAACTGGTTTGAACCTCTGGCAGTTCACTCTCAAATGTACTGTTGCAGCCATTTTTTAATTATCTTTAGCAAAATTTTACTTGTATGTAATATTAATGATACCGTCCGATGATTTTCACATTTTGTGGGATCACCTCTCTTTGGGATAGGCACAAATATGGATCTCTTCCAATTAGTTGGTAGCTATCTTCCAAATTTCTTGGCATAGATGAATGAGTACCTCCTACTTCATCAATTTGTTGAAAGATGGCAGATATGACGAGAAACAACAGCTTTGCATTTTGATATCTGTTTAAAAAAGGTTTCTTACAATTTTGTAGCAGTACTTTTTGAGTTGCCCTGATATTCAGGAATAAAAACTCACAGCTCAGATTTCCAGCTAATGAGCTGTCTGTACTGAAACTAACTTCACTACAAACACACAAGGCTGGGGCTATGAATAAAGACATATTCTAGAGGTTTTTGTCCTCTGACCTTCTGTGTAAAATTCTGAACATGGAGACCAAAGGTTAATACTACTGACGTATGTGTTCGGTGATAGGACTGAATCTCTACACATTTCAGTTAAAATTCGATTTTACAAATCAGATGCTTAAATATGTGTGTGTGTGTGTGTGTGTCTTTAGAACCCAAGGATTACGTGTTATATGCAAAATGAGTGCGTTTGCATTCTGTTGGGTTTTTTTCCCAATTCCCTGGAGCTGGCAAAGGCTGAGAGCGTCCACTTCCTAGAGTATTCAAGCCACAAGGAGCAACTTTCAAGCTCCTGCATCTTGACCAGTGTGGAGGGAAAATCTGCCCCCTGACAGGGTGAGGGCAGAAAAGGGTCCCTGCCAGAGTGCTGGGACTTCACAGGTCGGGACTGCATAAGAAAACAAGATCCCTAAGTTGAAAAGTCTCCACATAAACAAAACCAGCGAGGAACCCAGTGAAGAGGGTGTGCGCAGGACTTGGAAGCAGGAGACTCTCGCTCTAGACTGGACTCTTCGAGGCATGCTGGTCCCCTAGAGAAAGATGTACTTTGGGCCTTCTTCTATGAGGTTAGTGTGAGTTCTGGCAGTTGCCTAGCGCTTTCCACAGTGAGGTTAATGAGCTGGGGCTGGATAACAATAACCTGGCCCCATCTTGCGGGGTACCCTGGCCAAGAAAATCCTGCCTCTCAGGTCCTAGGGGCGGTGGTGCTGCCTAAGCAACCCAGTAGTTTCAAGGACTAGTTGTGCTTCTGGCCAGCATTACTGGCCAAAGCCCAAGCTACCCAGCAAAGAGTGTTTGTTTGCGCTGAGGAGTGTTTAATAACAATGGATCAGGTCACTTGCTCCCATAATCTGCTCACAAGTCACTCAGGATTATGCTCAAGTGTCCTCAGATGCCTTTCTTTCCCATTCTTGTTGGTTCCTTATGTAACTGAGGGAATTCAGAGGGCTCAAAAGACATTTGTGCAGAGATTGTCAAAGACTCCGCCCACAGCCCACGCCTTTCCTCCCCATAGCACCCAACACGCCACAGCTGCCCCGGGCCCTACACCTGGCTCTAAGAACAAGGTTCCAGAGTTCCTGGACTTACTTCCGGCTCTGGGCTGCTCTTCTCTCAGCTGAAGACCCCGAGATGTACTTGAACACGGACAGCCTCCTCATGAAGCTGAAGGGGAACTTCTGGTCAAGCTTCAGTGCCATCCGCTCTGAGAGGTCGATGGAGTAGCAGTAAGTGAGGCCATCTGAGGTTGGCATGTTAAGTGAAACAAGAGAGGGCTGAGCACCCACCCCTGAAAAAGGCAGGTTCTTGTACTTATTTCAGGGCATGAAGGCTTAGTCACCAAACACTCTGGCACTCTGGCTGCGTTTCAAGCTCGGGAGAAACCAAGAGTCGAAAGTTTCTCCCCACTATACCTCACAGGAGGACTGTGGGAACATGGCCTTGCAATGGGGAGGGCAGATGATAACAATGAACGTTTTCCTGTGTCAATTCAGCCCACCTCTTGAGCCCTTCTCACCTTTGCAACCACAGCCAACACAGCAGGCAAAACTTGTAGCACGTAATGTGGAGTGGTGTCCTGGCGTGGTGCCGCAGGATAAACACTGGACTGCTAACCAAAAGGCTGGCAGTTCAAATCCACTAGTCACTTCTCAGAAACCCTATACAGGGTCACTATGAGTTGAAACTGACTCGACGGCACTTAAAAACAACAGACAACTCGACAGTAATACCAAACCAAACCAACTGCCATTGAGTGGCTAGGACCCACAGCGATCCTATAGGTCAGAGTAGAACAAAGCAACGGCCTCGGCTTTTTCCTACAGAGCAGCTGGTGTGGGTTTGAACAGCCACTGCGCCACCAGGTTTCCTTCCACAATAACTGTTTGGGACTTCAATACACCACCTTCAGTTCTGGACAAAACATCGTTAAAAAACAATCAGGGAGGATATACCCAGGGCCACGGAGTCTATTTCAACTGACAGCGACCCTGTGGAGGATTCCTGAGGCTATAAAGCCTTACGGAAATAGAAAGCCTCATCTTTCTTCCTGTGAAGCACCTGGTGGGTTTGAACTGTCAACCTTGTGGTTCAAAGTCTAGTGCTTTTCCTATAACACCACTGGGACTCCTAAGTAAGGACATTGTTGTTGTTGTTATGTGCCGTGGAGTCAGTTCCGACCCATAGCGACCCTGTACAGGGTTTCTGAGGCTGTAAATCTTTACGGGAGCAGAACGCCTCATCTTTCTCCAGTGGAATGGCTGGTAGTTTCGAACTGCTGACCTTGCGGTTCACAGCCCGATTCATAACCACTACGCTACCAGAGCTCCTTAAGGACATAGAGGATTTAAATAATACTATAAACAACTCCTTGTGTGGCGCTGTAGGATAAGCACTGGACTGCAAACCACAAGGTTTGTGGTTCAAATCCTTCAGTTGCTCCTCGGAAACCCTATACTCATGGGGTCACTATGAGTTAGAATCGACTTGACGGCACTTCATACCAACTAATAAGCCAAGTAAGGCTAATGGACACACAGGGAACACTTCATCTACCATCAGAGAAATGCACAGTTTTCTCCTGTGTACACGGATCACGTCCTTCAAAACAAGTCTCAACAAATTTTAAAAGATTGAAACTATAGCAAGTATCTTATCTGACCCAAACCCAGTAATATTTGAAATTAACAACAGAAGCAAAACCAAAACAAAACAATTACATGTAAATTAATTACCATACTATCAAACAACTACTGGGTCAAAGAAGAAATCAAGTGAAGTAAAGAAATACCTGGAGATAAATGATACTGAAATACATCACATGAGGACTTAAGGAACGTGGCGAAAGCTGCCTTCAGAGGAAAAGTGATAGCAATAAACTCCTACATTACAAAGAAAGGTCTCAAATAAATAGTCTTTTATTTATTTGAGTCTCAAATAAATAGCCTGAGGAACTACAAAAAAGAAAAGCAAAGTAACCCTAAAGCTACAAGAGGCAATTAATAAAGATCAGAGCAGAAATAAAAGGAAAAGAAAGAGAGAGGGAAAAAAACACCCAGAAATAATCAACAAATTCATTAGTTGGTTCTTTGAATTGATCAATAAAATGGACAAACCACTTGCTAGGCTGACAAAGACACAAAGACACAGATGCTAAACAATAAAGTGAAAAATGAAAGTGGAGACATCACAGCTGACCCAACTGCAACAGAAAGGATCATACAGAATACTATTGACACTGAACTCCAACAAAATGGGCACATTCCTAGCAGCACTTAATCTAATCCGACTCAAAAGGAAGTGGAAACCACAAGAGATCCATTAACAAGTGAAGATACTGAACCAATAATAAAAGCCTGGGACCAGCAGTTTTATAGGGGAATTCTACCAAACATTCAGACAAGAACTGGTACCAATTCTAGTCAAACTTTTCTAAAACGTAGAGGAAGAAAGAATTCTCCTGATGGAGCCGGCATTACCCTAGTACAACAAGACAGCTACAGACCAACATCTCCTATGAATATGAAAATCAAAATTCTCAGCAAAATACTAGCAAACAGAATCCAATATCATAGTAAAAGAATTATACATCGTGATCAACTGGGATTAGTGCCTGGAATGAAAGGTTGGTTCAACACAAAATCATTTACTAAAATATACCACATTAAGAAAACAAAGAAGTTAAAAACAAAACACACATGGTCATCTCAATAGATGCAGAAAAGGCATTTGATAAAATGCAGCACCCTCTCTCAATGAAAACCCTTAACAAGATAGGATTAAAAGGGAATCTCATCAACAGCCAACATTATACTCAATGGAAAAAGACTAAGAACTTTCCCCTTGAAAACAGGAATAAGACAAGGATGCCCACTCTTACCATTCCTATTCAATAATGTACTAGAAATTCTAGCCAGAGCAATAAGGCAAGAAAAAGAAAAGGCATGTAACTTGGAAAGTGTCATGGATGGAACTGTGTCATCCTACATCCCAAAATATGTGTCAACTTAGCTAGGATATGACTCTCAGTGGTATGATCATTATGTAATAAAGTTGTCTGCCAGTTATGTGATGATTAGTTTGAAATAGGCCATATGCTTAGGCTACAAAACAAGTCTCAACAAACTGAACAAGACTGAAAGCTGTGGAATGATGGAGTCATCTCCCATGATGTGATATCATTATTCTCCATTTGTGATAGGTTGTCAACCCTTAGCTCTTATGTGTGAATGAGGCAAGATGCGGGTAGGTGGGCTATAACACCCTTACTCTGGTCATCCAGCTGTCTGTCGGTCTCTCATACTGTGGTGGTTCGCATGCTGCTGGAAGCTGACCACTAGTATTTTAAATATAAGCAGGGTCACCAATGGTGGACAGGTTTCAGTGAAGCTTCAACAACACTAAGACAGACTAGGAAGGAGCAGAAGACTATTTCTGAATGTTTAGTCATTGAAAACCTCATGCATAGCAGCAGAACACTGTCGGATATAGTGCCGGAAGATGAACAGTGTAAGATACAGTGCTGGACAATGAGATCTTCAGATTGGAATGCATTCTAAATATGAGTACAGAAGAGCTGTCTCCTCTAAGTAGAGATGATCATAATTACGAGATTGGAGTAAAGCTCTTGGGACCTTCATTTGCTGATGGGGCACAACTCAAAATGAGGAGAAACAGTTGCAGACATTCATCAATAACAGGAACATAAAATGTATGCAGTAAGAATCTAGGAAAATTGGGAGTTGTCAAAATTGGAATGGAATGCACAAAGATCAATATCTTAGGCATTAGTAAACTGAAATGGACTGGTATTGGTCATTTTGAATCAGATAATCATAATACTGTAATATGATAGGAAGGACGAATTCAAGAGCAATATGACATTGAATTTCATCAACAAAAAGAACATTTTAAGATCTGTCTTGAAGCACAAAGCTGTCTGTGATAGGATAATATACGTACAACAAGGAAGACTAGTTATTACCACTATTATTCAAATTTATCCACCAACTACTAAAGCCAGTGATGATGAAACCAAAGAATTCTACAAAAATACTTTAGTCTGAAGTTGATCAAACATGCAATCAAGATGTATTGAAAATTACTAGTAATTGGAATGAAAAAGTTGGAGACGAAGAAGGATCAATACTTAGGCTGGAGATCGCATGATAGACTTTTGCAAGACCAACAATTTACTCATTGTAAATATCTTTTTTAAACAACGTAAAAGGCAACTGTACTTATGAACCTCACCACATGGAATACACAGGAATTACACTGACTACATCTGTGGGAAGAGAGGGTGGAAAAGCTCAATATCATTATCAGCCAAAACAAGGCCAGGGACCAATTGTGGAACAAACTATCAATTGCTCTTATGCAAGTTCAGGCTGGAGTGGAAGAAAATTAAAACAAGCCCTTGAACATATTCCACTTGAATTTAGAGACCATCTCAAGAACAGATTTGATGCATTAGACACTACTGACCAGAAGAGCTATGGGATGACATCAAGAATATCACACAGGAAGAAAGCAAAAGAACACACTCACATCTCTCAAGCTGAAAAAATTCAAGCCTTGATTTGAAATACTGAAGGATGCTATGGGACTCCTGGTGTAGGATCACCACTGAACTGTGACCCACAGATCATCAGTTCAAACCCATCAGCTGCTCCTTTGAAGCCCTATATAGGGTGACTATGAGTTGGAACTGACTCAATGACACTTAACAACAACATGGGAAATGTACTGAATGACGCAGAAAGCATCAAAAGAAGATGGAAGGAATATAGTCACTGTACAAAAAGAAATTTCAAGAGGCAGCATATGACCAAGAACCGATGGTACTAAAGAAAGCCCAAGCAGCATTGATGGCATTGGCAGAAAACAAGGTGCCGGGAACTGATGGAATACAAACTGAAATCTTTCAACAAACTGAGGCAGCACTGGAGGCACTCACTCATCTATGCCGAGAAATCTGGAAGACAGCTACCTAGCTAACTGTCTGGAAGAGAGATTCATAAGGTAACCCGACTTGATGTGTAAATCATCAAATATTAATATCACATGCAAGTAAAATTTTGCTAAAGATAATTTTTTAAATGGCTGCCCAACAGTACATCCACAGAAAACTGCCAGAAATTCAAGTTAAATTTCAGAAGAGGATGTGGAAAGAGGGCTATCACTGCTGAGATCAGACAGATCTTGGCAGAATGCAGAGATGTTCAGAAAGATGTTTACCTGAGCGTTATGACTATGCAAAGGCTTTTGACTGCATGGATCCTGACAAGCTATGGACAACACTACACAGAATGGGTATTCCAGAACACTTGATTGTGCTCATGAGGAACCTGTATACAGACCAAGAGGTAGTTGTTTGCACAGTACAAGGAGATAATGAATGGCTTAAAATCAGGAAAGGTGTGTGCCACGGTTGTATTCTTTCACCACACTATTAAATTTGTATGCTGAGCAAACAATCTGAGAAGCTGGGTTATATGAAGAAAAATGTGGCATCAAGACTGGAAGACGGCTCATTAGCGACCTGCAATATGCAGATAATACAAACTTCCTTGCTGGAAAAGAAAAGGACTTAAAATACTGATGAAGATCAAAGACTACATATAGCCTTCAATATGGGTTGCACCTCGATATAAAGAAAACAAAAATCGTCACCACTGCACCAATAAATAATATCATGATAAATGGAGAAAAGATCGAAGTTGTCAAAGACTTCATTTTGCTTGGATCTACAATCCTCTCTCATGGAAGTAGCAGCCAAGAGTCCTATGCATAAAACAGTCTTAAGCAGCAGATTTGCTTAAACAACATATTCCATTTGGCAAATCTGTTGCATAAGACCTATTTAGTGTTCAAAAGCAAAGATACCAGGAAAAATAAGGGCTAAGGTGAGCCTGACCCAAGCCATGGTATTTTCAGTAGCCTCATATGTATGTGAAAGTTGGACAATGAATAAGGAAGACCGTAGAAGAATTCATACATTTGAGTAGTAGTGCTGGAGGAGAATATTGAAAGTACCATGGACTCCCAGAAGAACAAACATACCTGTCTTGGAAGAAGTGTATCCAGAATGCTCCTTAGAAGCCAGGATGGTGACACTCTGTCTCTTATGCTTTGGACATGTTATCAGGAGGAATCAGTCCCTGGAGAAAGACATCATGCTTGGTAAAATGGAAGGTCAGAGAAAAAGAGGATAACCCTCAATGAGATGGATTGGCACAGTGGCAGCAGTAATGGGCTCAAGCATAGCAACAATTGTGAGTATGTTGCAAGACCTGGCAGGGCAGTGCTTTGCTCTGTTGTGCAGTGTCGCTATGAGTCAGAACCGCCTGGATGGCATCTAACAGCAAAAACTCAGGCCAAAGCTCGGATTCATTATAAGGGGAGTTTTCCTGGGGTGTGGCCTGAATCACCTTTTATCTTACAAGAGATAAAAGGACAAAGAATGGACCAGAGAGGAAGGGTCTCAGTAACACCAAGAAAGAAGAGGTAGGAGCGGAGCTCATCCTTTCGACTTGGGATCCTTGTGTTGAGAACCACATTGACCCAGAGGCAGACGGATGCCAAGACATATGGGTCCTTGCGAAGGCATGCTGGGCCCGCATATGTTGACAGGAGTGAGTGCCTCCTAGACTGCGAGAGAATACATTTCTCTTTGTTAAAGTTACCACTTGTGTTATTTGTTACAGCAGCACTAGAAAACAGAATTGAAGCGGTGAGACTACTGCTATGAGCAGACTTAAACCCAACATCCATAATTATACTAAATGCAAATGGATGAAACACAATTTAAAAGGCAGAGCTTTTCAGACTTAAGTGTGAACTATATGCTATCCAGTAGACATGCTTTAAATATAAAGACACAAATATGTTAAACTTTAAGAATAAAAAAGATATGCATGTAAGTACTATATAAGGGAGCTGGAAAAACTACATTATTATCAGACCACACAAACTTCAGGGTGAGAATATTGTGAGATAAAGGGTCGATTCATAATAATAAAAGGGTCAATTATTCAAGATGAATTGCCAAAATGCATATGTACCCAATAGATCATCAAAAGACATGAAGCAAAAACTGACAGAGTGGGCAGGAAAAACAGCCAAATCTACAATTGTAACAAGTTGGACATTTTAACAAACCTCTCTCAGTACTGATAAGGACACAGAAGAACTGGACGTCAACGTCTTTACCTAACTGGCGAATTCACACCCCAAACCAAACCTATTGCTATGGGGGGGTTTCTTGGCTACATCATTATGAAATCAGATCGCTAGGCCTTTCTTCTGCAGTGCTGCTTGGCCCGCCAACCTTCGGGTTAGTTTTCTGTTAAGTGTTATCAAATCAGCTACAACTCATAATGACCCTATACTGGGTTTCCAAGGAGCAGCTGGTAAGTTAGAACTGCTGACCTTGTGGTTTGCAGTCCAGTGCTAATCCTATGGCACCTTGCCAGGTTAGTGGTGGCTGAGTGCCGTGGAGTGGGTTCCGAGTCATAGCGACCCTGTACAGGGTTTCCAAGGCTGCAAATCTTTACAGGAGCAGAAAGCCTCATCTTTGTCCCACGGAACAGCTGGTAGTTTCGGACTGCTGACCTTGAGGTTAACAGCCCAATTCATAACCACTATGCTACCAGAGCTCCTTATGTGACATATATAGAACATTATATTACCAACTAGAGAATGCATATTGTTTTCAGCACACATAGAACATTCACTAAGATATTCTAAACGCTGGGCTAAAAACAACCGCAAAGTCCTATAATCTTACAATGTTCTCTGATCACAGGAAATTAAACTAAACACCAAGAACAAAAAACAAACCTGGAAAAATCACCAAATATTTAGAAATTCAGCAATTCACTTAATAATATCCCTCAGATCAAAGAAAAAGTCACAAGGAAAATTAGAAACTATCTTGAATGAATTGGTAATAAAAATACAACATACCCAAATCTGCAGGATGTAACTAAAGAAGTGCTTGCAGGGGTGTTTATAGCTTGAAATCTTTACATTGTTGTGGTTAGGTACTGTGGAGTCGGTTCTGACTAATAGGGATCCTATGCAGAACAGAACAAAACACTGCC